AAGAGCATGACACGTTGTAATCAATAAGCAAAGTTTGTTGCGTTGAATTACGGCTTAGTTCGATGAGAGTGACTAGAGCAAGAAAGAGAGAGAGAAGAAAAAGAAAATGAGTAATTTTCTGATCCACTGGTACCTAATGACATGCACGCATCTCGAATCAACGCATCCATTTGAGTTGATAACTCATTACATCTGTTTCTTAATTCTGAAAATGGCTCTAATTTAAAGCTCAATGTAAATATGCATATATCGTAATGAAACCACTGACAATTTTCAGCTCAAAAACTTTACCATTCGCATTTCATTGCTCTTTTCAACGGTGTGAGCGCAAAATTTGTCTAGAGTTTACATTTTTTTTCAGGAGATTCGCTGTTCTTTACAATTTTCATGAGCCAAGCTGAATACAGCAGCTACATTAGCAATTAAAATGAGCAACCTAGAATTTGAATTGAAAAGATACACATATATCGCGTGAGCTCGTTTTTTTTCTCTTGTTCTCTCGTATGCGACACACAAGCTGATTTTATATACGCTCGTTTGAATTAAATGCTGATGAGAGCAAGAACGTGTGAGAAGGTCGAGCATCAAATTATGAATTTTAAAATGAGAGTAATTAAAATGCGACATTTCAAATCAATGTGAATGAAAATGGAAACAAAGAAGTCACAAATGAACAAAAACAGAGAGATATGGAAACAACATTTAAATGAACGAATGTTGAAAGGAGAAGAAGAAGATACTTTTTGTGCAAAAAAAAAGTTTCAATTTTCTATGAGCACACTTGGGTAACAAATGCAATTTTGGTTTCTTTAATGTGTGTATAATTCAAACTTTGACAAATGCATTTACGGAACAAACCTTGACATTTTCTTCGCACAAGAAAAATGGCTACAAAGTTCGACGCACGACAAAGACGACACCGACTCCGAAAAATTGAGATTCAACTTTATACCTTGGTCAAATATTTGCTTAAACTTATTATCTGCTTGGGAACCAGTTTCAGTTGCAGATTTGCTTCTTGTTCCCTTTGTTTTGGTTTAAGATTTCATTTGATGGAAAAAATACTTGCATGCATAGTTGAAATCGTGCCGTTGAAGTGTCGAGAATGAATTGATTGTGGTGTATATAGGTGTGGTGATGGGTAATCCTTTGAGCTCCTTGATGCGTGCACGCATTTATTAAAATCCATCTAATATATGCGAGGAAATGAATATGTGACTGTGAAGAACGATAATAATGCGACCCAGTTGTGTTTGTACTGGGTGCAATTTGTATTTAATGGCTGGAATATCCAGGTTCATGGGAGAATAATCAATAAATGTAACAAAGTTTAGCTGAATTCGTCGAAAGGATGCCGTGCATTGGCAGGCTACAACTGCAACGTATTGATGTCTCGAAAAACATTCTCGAAGTGGGGTCTGTACAACAACATTCGTGAAATGCAATAGAAAACTCAAATTAATGAAAGCAACGTTAAAATAGACAAAGTAATCAAATGTTGCAATCGTCCCATTGCATAAGCAAAACACACACACGCTGAAGCATGATACAGCGTGTGCTCATATGGTGATTTAAAAAGACAGAACCGGGTTCTGAGAGAGAGAGATCCATACATGCGTGTTACACTTATGCCAACCACATGGTAGCGCTCTACCGACTGTTGGATTGTCGAATGGTTTGCAGTGTGTCATGCAAAATGACATTCATCGAGGTTTTAATAATGAATATCTTTTAGCACACATGGGTGTTATTTTGAATTTACTAGCATGTTTGACGTCATGTCTTGCTATCATCATTATACTCTTATAAAACATGGAAATGCTTTTATTAAGCTAACTCCTTCCCCCTTCTTCCCCTCCACACATATACTGAGCATTCACTAAACATTTGTACTATCTGGTAGTGATGGTGATGGTGCCAAAGCTGAAATATGCACTCCAGCAATAAGGCATGACAGCACAAACATGAACGTTAGACATTGAATATTTAAAGTAAAACCCCAGAAGATAAAGTGGCAACTGAAAAACATTTTATAGTTAAATTTGTGAGAACAGCTTAAATGTCTATGTTGTTCGATGGCGAAACGAAGCGCGGCGACATTAAATCAATTCCAAAAAGCCAAAAGACGTGGATTCACCGAATCTACACCCACTCTGCACACATTTTACACACATTGGATAGTGAGTGTGTCTGCTTGGCACTTACACTATCACAGATTTAGCGGCAAACTCAACTGTTCGCGTAATCAGTTTAAATAAGACATGCAATTTTGCCGGCTTCCCATCATTTTCTCTCTCTCTCCCCCGCAACTTGTGAATTTAATCCTCTTCTGTAGTTTTCGAACACACACACTCCATTTCATTATCGTGCGTAACATTTGTTCTTGTTATGCAAATGCATTTCCTTCGTGTGCAATGTTGGTGCATCTACAAAAGAGTGAGAAAGTGAAAGAGAGACCGAGGGCAAGAAATATCGTGCACATTCCAGAAATGAGGTTTTACCAAAATTCCTTCCATTTAATTAAGCTTTCGATTTTGAAAATTTAATTGTTGGCCTGGTTTTTCGTGAACTTATCCTCATAATACACTGGCGCCATTTTGCAATAGGCACTCTTACACTCTACACCCATTACTGAAACTACTTTGCTTTTGATTTTTCGGTAATTCTCCACTCTATCCCTCATCACTAATTAGACACCGTCTATTTTCTATAGAATATAAAATTAACGCTCTCTTTTTTTTGCGTTCAAAAGACATGAACCAAAAATGGAAAGTACCTAGTTACGGATGGGCAAATCAAAACTCCCCATTCGCCAGGGCAAATAAAACACATTGAAGTTTATGGAGCGCAAATTACCACTCTTCCGAGAGAGAGAGAGAGAGAGAGAGAGAGAGAGAGAGAAAGGGAGACGAAAAGTGGAAGAAAGAGCAACATGCGATTTTGGTTGGGCGTATGAATGTGAAATGAAAGAAGAAGAAAAAAATACACTGCATATCATATAGTAAATCTGATTTTCACATTTATGAATCAGCATCCTCACGATATACAGCAAAAGCGAGAGACACACCGAGAGGAAGAGATGGATGATGTATAGAAAATAATGGTGCAGCATTGCATGATTTAAATTTTGTACCCGGGCATATTCAACAGATGCATCACAAATGGAAAGAATGGCTCACATCAAAAAAACCCTCTCTCCATCCGCACAGATTTGCATTGAAACTTGAATGAACCAAATAATCGCACAACATTTACCACGAACTCGTTTTTTTCCCTAAATTTTAGATGAACCAACTCGAACATTCAAATTGGCCGGTCAGTTTACTTGAACATTTACACAGAACCCGCTCAATGTAAATAAATTCGCTTTTCAAGCGGATTTTTCGTTGACTCCATTTCGTTTCAATTTTTATTTGTCACGTTTTTTGTCGCGGTTGTTAGTTTGCTTTTCATTTTTATCTGTTTTAATTTTGTATTCAAAAGCCGCTTATTCTAGCCGAAACAATTGATATTAAACATGACGAAATCATACAATTTTCATCAATATATATGAACAAATCGAGGCGGTCTATATAAAAGTGGCAACAACTGAACTTTTTAACAGAACATCAATTGAAGAGAGAAAGATAGAGAGGAAAAAAATCGAAAATGAATTACATTCGAAATGAAATGGATGAGTTCATGAGGTTCATGCGAATGATTCATTTATTTTGATTTAACTTTGATTACGAGCAAATTCAACGGCGTGAACTGAAAGAGAGGATCAAACAAGAAAATAAGAGGATCGAAGTTGTATATTCATTGGCGTGATAAAACCAGTCATTTACGCTCATTTTTAGTCGTCTTTCTTCCTCACTCTCTCTAGATCTCTCTCACTCACTGTTTCGCTCGTGTTTCTTTCCCTATCACTCTCGTTTTATATTTATTGCAGTCATTTCACACACTTTTTGGACGCTCTTTGGACGACTCTGTGTTTGGTCGTTTGCGTTTCATTTTCCATTCATAACCATTTTTTATGCACATTGCTTTATTTCGGTGCGGAAAAGCTGGGTCAGTTTTTTTTCATCATTGTTATTGTGTAAAGTTTAAGAAAAAAGACGCGTTGAAGCGTCTTGGAATTTGAAATATGTTCGGTGTCGCACATGTGAATGCCATGTCATCGCCAACAAAATATATAAATTATTCAATGTACAACATAACACACACTCACACACACACTGGCGCTCTCACACACAAAAACTAACATAAAAATGACGAAAACGAACCAAAAAGGTTTGTAGTGTGCATCGAATGTGTTCCGACGATGCGATGGTTAGTTTTGTCTGTTCTCGTGTCCGTTTCAATCAATTATATCGTCCAGTTCCAATCATTTATCATTTTCATAAAATGTATTTTCTTATTATATGTTCGGTTGGATGCACATTGAAACCCGTTTCACTCTCTCTCTCTCTCATCGTGGAAAAGTCTTAACAGCAAATGAAAATCCCATGGTCACCGAACGGGGAGTTTCACAACACGATGACTTTCGAAAACAAATCGTTTGTTTCCTGCTCGCTATTTTCTTTTTTTTTTCTCTTATTCCTCTTTCTCTAACTTTCTCTTATTCACCCACCCATTCACCACCCTGAGAATATTGGAAATATGTTTTGATTTGTGTTTAATCCAAAAATATATTCTGTCGCCCTGGAAAAAGAGCGAAAAAAAAACATGCTAAAATCAATAATAAAAATGTTGTTAAAGCGAACAACTTTATAATTGGAATTTTACGGTGTCTACCGAAATGAAATTATGTTGTCCTCTGCTGCTGCTTATTTTTCCTTGTTGGACGACGATTGAATACTAGAATCGCACTCCAAAAAGCCGTTATGTTTTCAGTTTGAATATATTTACGCATGCGTGGTGCAATGAAGCATTCCCCTTAAATCGCAGCAATGTGCATTCGCTTGAACTTTCACCACTGGTTACACTGTCGCGTTTCGTCAGTTTTTCATCGACTTCTATACTAACTGGACGCTTTTTGGCGTATCAACCAGATTTATTCAAATCTATCGCTTGCACTGATTGCCGATTTGTCTGCAAAAAACCTCAGTGTTTCCAAATCGTTTGATCCAGTGAAACGACTTTGATCTCATTTCATTCAGCAAACAAAAGACGAAAAAAATCCCAAAATTTACTTAAGTGTGCATACTGTTTGGAAATCACGTAAATAAAATCATTGTAAACTGATTGTGTAAATGATTCAGCGACACGAAACGAGAATATTTTAAGTTGAAGACTTGAAAAAAGCCAGTGAATGAAATATACTTTGATCATTTCGGAGTTGAAAAAAAAGCCAATATAAAATATTTAACGTATTCAAGTGAATGGAAAATCAAGTGATTGGGTGTTAGAGTAAATTCGACGGCAAATGCATGCAAATATTATTTTCGGATTTGCAATTGTAATAGGTTTCGTAAATATTGTCGCGTAGTTTAAGTTTAACAAACAAAATCAATATTCCATTCAAAAGATAATAAAATAATTGTATTTGGCTTCTAAAACTGATATGAAGCAAAAACAAAAGCCACTCGGTGCAGAATTGAGTGTGTCTATGTCACATCGAGCATAAAATAACAGTATAGCTGCATCAAAAGTCAGCATCAAACGGATAAAAAGTGTTGTTGTTGTTTTTTGCGACTCAAAACTTACAAACTGGATTAGGTGAAACGTATTTTGGTTTGCGGAATATAAAGTTAGTACTGCATGTATACTTTTATTGATATTTTTTTCAATTTTTTCTACACCGTACGAACGTAAAAGAAAAGAATTGATTGTCGATAATAATTTGCAATAAATGTTGTTGTGTCGTGGTTTCCGGTTGTGAAAGTATTTATTCGATGAAATTTATGTTTCGGGGGGTATGAGATGGAAAAAATCGCTTAGGTTGAACAATTACTAAAAACAAAAGAAAGTTGTTTTACGCGTTCGAGCAACATCTGTAATATTGGCAATAGTGAGGACGAAAAAAAACGACGAAAACACGCATTATAACTCATACGTAATAAATTTGTGCTGTTTGTTGAATTACCGTCAATCGGGGTTGTGGTACCGTTCACAACAGTTTAATGCTAATCTCCACGAACTTAAACAAAATCTCACTGTCACGCATTATTTCGCCATCTAAGTTCAATGCGACTGTTTGAACATGTGTGTGTGTACGTGTTTATACTTTGTCGAAAAGTTTCATCAATTGGTTTATTCGAAACCTATTGAACCGACCTCTGAATCTCAAACAATTGTGAGTAGAATTGAATGGAAAAGGAGGATGAGGTGGTGGGGGATTAAAATCGGTTTGTTTTGTTTGCCTTGCCCGTTGAATGGGAAACATATCAAAGGCAACAAAATGAAATGTGAACGCATTGAAGCAAAGCAAGTCAAACCATTTATTGAGTGCTGCTGACAACAGTCACCTCTTTCGGCTTTCTCTATCTCTCTGCTACGATCGAATCGAAAACAAACATCATTACACGCACTCCAAAACAATGGTATACACACACGCGTGCCGAATGCCAAAAACTTGTCTCAAACAAGGTGTGTATGTCTTCTCATTAATGTTTCATTTGCGACATGCTGAAAATTCTAAACAGCATCGATGGTATCGTCGCCATTTGTCGTCTCTTTCGATTTAAATCTTGGCCAGGATATTCACAGCGAGATACAAATAGAAACACACGCGTGCACACACAATCGCAATGAGTGATATTGTGAATTGGACCTGTTAATGGCGTGAGAATGGCATAGAGATATAGAGGAAAATGAAGCGAATACCAATGGTATAGAGAAAAATGAAAAATTACACATAAAATCAAATCAAACGCACTGAATGCAAATGACGCTTCAATGCTCAATAAATTGAACACAGAGAGATTATGCTCATTGCATTATCGTGTGTGTGTGTATATATCATGGCTTATTGCTTTTTCGCCATTCTTACCTGCACACAAAAGGGTTATATAGTTTTGAAAACGAACTAAACCATTTATATCCATGATCGCACTCGTACAACGAACAGATATCTATTGTATGCAAACAACAGTTTTCTGCTCCAATTCAAAACAATCGAAATGTATTTTTGGCAATACCGCTGCAGTTGTCGCAAATATTTATGGAGAGATTTTTGCGAATTGGTAAATTTTGCGTTCGACACAGGCGAACGCATACTACAACAACATTGAAATGTGATCGACAATCAAAAGAAACTTCCAACCGTATCATGGAATATTTAATTACCTATTCAGGAAATGAAAGTTTTCCTTTCTTTCATTCGGTTGTACACACTTTTTTGTTCTCTTTAATTTCCATACTTTAAACGTATCCAAAGTTCTACAAACTGCGATTCGAATTCAAAAATGGCGATCCATTTAAAACGATTATTCCATAATAACCAAAGCAACATTACAAGTGCCGCTTGCTCGTTTGTGTACTGATTGTTTTTAAGGTAGCCATTTCGTATGAATATCATTTTCTTTCTATCACTCTCATTCCGTCTTCACTTTGTCTCTCTCATTGTGCTTGAAATCTTGACGACCTGAATCTGAAACAATTTACCTAAAACAAAACCGGATATTAAAGGACCTGAATATTCTTGCGAAATCTGAATTGTTCCCGACTATTATAATAATCGCTTTATTATTTTGAACATTGAATATAACGGCCATTTAGTTTCGGCATTCATATTGGGGGCGACCTTGTTGATTATAATCGAAGAGTTGCTACCATAGTTTCGTTTGCTTCGTACTTTTTTGCTTTCTTTACGCTCCATTGAATAAAAATATTACTATGAAAAATATGTGTGTATATTATGAAGCAGCACAAAAATACACACGGTTTAATGTACATATTTCAAGCATAAATGTCCAAGAGTGAGCAACAGACGGAGACATCAAGAGAGATTGAGCGAAAAAGGGAAAGATGATAGCAAAAGCGAGAGATTCGAATAAAGCGAGATGACGCTCGAATGGTAAAAATAGCAAAACAGGTATAATAAAAGGACATATTTGATGGTATTTTTTGTTATGAATGTTTGTGCTACTAGATTCAATTTACGCTATTTTCATTCTAGTTCATTATACAAAAGGAGCAATAAAAAAAGAGCACAACGGCAACATCAATACTTCTATAAATGAGGACACCCTTTTTTTCATTACAATATTTTTTTATTATTATTTTCGTTTGTGAAGAAAGAAGAGATATTTTATCATTTGTTATTTGGTTTTTCGTTGTATTTGTCTTTGTGCAAAGCAGATACGATCGATTTTCATAATAACTTTCTATTACCTTCCATTTGTCTCTGTTTCATTTTTATGTCATCCTTTTGGTAAAAAAAATATTTGGCAACCTCATAGAATTTCATTTTGCAAAATGAGAAAAGTGTTGAGAATTTAGATTTACATCGGATGCAAAATATCTGCAATATGGAATATAGCCGAATGAATAGTATCCATAAAAGTGTTCGATCAAAGGTAGCATTCGCGATTACGATTCACAATAGAAATATAAATTCGATACATTTATTGCTTGCGCTGCAAATCGCCATCGTTTAGCGTTCTACTTTGATATGTTAATAGCTGGCACTTTTTTGCCTCTCACTCTGGAACAGTAATGTGCGAGCTACATTTTACAGGGGGGGGGGGGGG